TATAAAATATATTTTTTAATATTTTAAATAAAAAAATTTATATCATGTTATTAATTTTAAATTTTAATTCACTTACCATTATTCTAAAGATTATAAATTTAGTTTTGTGATAAACAAAAAAAAAATTTATTATATAACTCAAATAAGGTATATAAAAAAAATACTTGCATTAAGCAAGGAAAGCACCATGATTACCAAAAAAAAAAAAGGACTTTGTGAAAATGTCCATTTTTGCGCCTCTATTAAGGAAATGTTCAATGTCCTCTTTCTATTTTTTAATCCACTTATTATTATTTTAAAGATTATAAATTTAATTTTGTGATAAATAAAAAAATTAAAAAAATTTATTATATAACTCAAATAAGGTATTAAAAAAAAAATACTTGCCTTGAGCAAGGAAAGCAGCTTGATTATCAAAAAAAAAAAAAAAAGTAATAAAATGTAAATGACTGAATGAACTGATTGGATAAGGCATACAAGGAACTAGGTCCGTTTGACGTGATTGAAACTTTTAATAGAAGTTCTCTTAGAAAGAATCTGCGGTGGAAAGGTTGTTTTTGAGAAGTTAAAAGTATTTGGTAAAATTTTTCATAAAAGTACTTATAGAGTAAAAAATTGTTTGGTAAAATTTTTTATAAAAGATCTCAGTGTTGTCAATAGCGGCCATAGCGGCCGCTATAGCGGCATAGCGTAGCGGTCAGCTACAGCCGCTATGACAAATTTTCATAGCGTAGCGTTTCTTCAATAGCGGCTGCTATCACCGCTAATAGCGGCCGCAACACAAATAGCGGATAGCGTGCATAGCAGCCGCTATATAATTTTCTTTGATTATTTTGATCAAATTACCATATTAACCCCGCATCTAAAGTTTAAGTTAAAAATTTTTAAGGTTAATTATGTCTTTCCAACTTTTCTATTTATAAATTAAAGAAAGAAAACCCTAAAAACTAAAAAAACTCATCGCCTCTGGTCTCGTCCCACGCACTGGTCTTCCGACTCTTCTCCTCCCAACTCTCCTCTCAACTCTCCTCCGACTTTTCTCCTCCCAACTCTCCTCT